TGTGGAAATGCACCACGGCATAATTCAGATCCTCAGCAGATGTGACAATGATCTGAGAGTCACCAGTGGCTTTCTGAACACAGTCAGGAGAAACAGAGGGGTTTGTGGGTAAATGTTCGTGAGTGTCTTTCATCTCCTTGTAATCACAGCCAGCGTGAGAAACCTAAAGAGAGACACAGAACTGTTTTTATTTCATTATTAAATTAACAAACTTACTGTAAATATTTATTAAAATGAACAGCGCTAGAATTATTTATCTTTTACTGATCAAAACAAACATAACTTTCCAATCATAGTTATTGTACTAACAGCTTTATTGTTTCCATTTGTCGCATGAGTACTTCTGGATGTAGAATCAGCGTCTGTCAAAGACAAACATCAAATCAACATCAATCTATTTTTGCTCATTTGTAGTTGTTTCAGCAGGAGGTTTTCATGAAGTTGTTCTGAGAAAAAAAAAAAAAAGAAAGAAAAATAATACTAAAAATGTCTCTATGAATGATAATGCACCAGTTTGCAATGTGCAACATGGAAAAATAGACATTGTCTTTTAAAGAAAGTAAAATGAGTTTTACTGTGAGACTGACGCCTCCTCCAGAGAGAGACGATCACCAACAGAATCACACTGAAGATCAGAAGCAGAAGCACAGACACACTGATGATCAGAGAAAAGCCTGCAAACACCAGAGATTCACTCAATCACTCTGAAGATCAAAACTGACCGACTGACAGAAATCAGTGAGTTTGTACCAGTTACAGGAGACGCAGATGAGATCAGTGGAGATTCTCCTGGTGAGAAAGATGAAGATGATGTTCTGTGATAGTTTATCTATACATCACAGAAAAGGCAGTGTCACTTACACAAGAAATTAAAATGTATTCTTCTTACTTTACTTCCCTTTTCTCACAGACGCTGATGTCTTTCACTCATTATTGACCAATCAGGAATGTTTCACACACAAATCCACAAAGCGCTTGTGCTTTTCAGCAACTTTAAACTCTCAGGAAGAGTTTTAAGTAAACGTAAGGGATGATCCATGGCTAGGTGCGGATTAAACTATTTTAGCCAAATAAATTCCTGATGCAAAGCAGAAAATCCTTATCCATGCATAATCACACTTATACCAGAATGGACAAGTAAAAGCTGTTATTCATGCTTTGATTTAAAAAAAAAAATCTGTTGATTTCTTAATTATGGTTATTTATTTTATATGGGCTGTTAGAGATACAATTCTGAAGTAAAATAGAATAGCGCATTAGGATTACACTCATCGTTTATTTGAATGAATTATAGTGTGGTGATGTTGTGGAGATCATCACAAGTTTGAAGGTTTCAGTCACTCACCTGTTATAATGTTCAGATTCACTTCAGTGTAGAAATCTTCACTGATATGGATATCAACTCCACACTGGTATGTCCCAGCATCCTCTTCACTCAGATCTCTGATGGTCACAGTGAAAACTGCTGCTCTTGTGTCGTCATACAGAGAGAATCTTTCAGAATGAACCCATTTGTTTTTCTCTTCAGTCTTGATGAGGTCTGAGCACCATCCAATCTGTGGTGTAACTGGCTTCTGTCCTTTACAAAAATACTTTGCATTTTCTGTATATTTTCTTTCATATTTGCATGTGATCATGACTTTTCCTCCTGAATATCCTGTCACACTGATGGAGCTCACCACACCTACAACAAACCAGCATCTTAATACAATACTATGATAATTATGAGGGTTAAATGAGACAAACGTTTAAATGGTTTCGTCAGATTCTCACCAGGAATCATCAGCAGAGTGAAAGTGCAGATGATCTTCATTCTTCTCTCTTATTCAGTGATCTTCTCTGTTGTTAGTAGATTCAGTTCTTCTGAAGCTCTCGATGTGTGTTCAGATGAGTTTTAGTGTTTCTTTCCTGATGAATGTGACAGAGACGCCCACTTCCTCTATATATCTGCCACAGATAGAGAGGGAGAGAGAATAATGGGGGAAGTGAAAATAAAATGATTGACACGCATCCAATCAGCAGCGCTTTCTATGGTAACTGCACACGTTTCTGATTGTTTCATTATTACTGGTTTATATTACAGTGCTATAATTACACTTTAAAATCCTCCGCATTTTTACATTCATCATTTACGTTCTTATTTAATTTATTTAGCATAATAACTTATATATAGTGATGTTAAACATAATAATAAGTGAATTCGCGTTCATAAAACTAGTCCCCAGTTGAATAAAACTATGTATTTGTTTGAATGTCTCTTTTACTCTTTCAGTTCCTTCAATGAATCTGGTCTTCACAGGGACATCAGGAGACACATATCAAACACATCAGATTGAAACGAAAGTGAAACAAATAAAGGAGAAATGAAAGTGTTGAGGAATGAGAGTCCAGCGGCTCCCTCTAGTGTTCAGATGGTGTTCAGCACCACGGACAGCAACACACACACACACACACACACACGTTGTGTTTCCATGTTTTATGGGGACATTCCATAGGCGTAATGGTTTTTATACTGTACAAACTGTATGTGCTGTTGCCCTACACCAACCCTACACCTAAACCTACCCCTTACAGGAAACTTTGTGCATTTTTACTTTCTCAAAAAAACTAATTCTGTATGATTTATAAGCTTGTTTCCTCATGGGGACCTCAAAAATGTCCCCACAAGGTCAAAATTGACTAGTATTACTATCCTTGTGGGGACATTTGGTCCCCATAA